ACTACTACAAAACATTTTTATAATCTGAGATGGTGCATTATCCTGGTGCTAAGAACATAAATTGTGTGCCCATAATACAGGCCACTTTTTACGAATAGTTTTATGTAAATGTTGCAAACAGGTCAAAAAATATTTCTTCGTTCATAGTTTTATTTGGCTCGAGGTGTGATTCATAATGCTCCACATTTTAATAGTCGAAGAATACTGCTAATGTGACCTTGATTTTTGAAAGAACTTGACCCGATATTTAATGTCTTGTCTAAAATTTTACACGGTTTTCACTTGCTTCCCGGATCATATGTATAGATCTAGTTTTCAGCTCCATTTATAATGCATTTCATTTCATCTTAATAGTCAGAAAGCAGTTTTTTACAGATTTCATTGGGATACCGTATTTCCAAAAACTTGATGGTTTCGGCACTAATCGATTTTTCACACTGTATAGCTACAAAACATTTATTAAAATTGTCCACATCGATCCAAATAAATATCGAAAGATTTTTTAGTACTGGATCTTTGATATTCTTGATGTTTTGTTAATAATTTTGATGGATTTGTGTGATGGTTCATTATTTCCATGCACCAACTGTCTGGCTTTTGATATTTTGCATTCACCGTCTAATCTATTTAGAGTGGGATTGTTCATAATCCCTTTTGAAAGGAAGAAAATGTTCGGCATGGTCTCTATTTTGATCTTCTTAAACCATAACATTTTTCATTTTCAGTAGGATTATCTCTAATTATTAAATATTTATCTCTAAAATTTCGATTGACCATTACTTTTATTTTATTGTTTATTTCATAGTATTTGTGATTTTTTTTTCTGACTAATTGGTATTTACGTTCGGAAATGGCACGTAAAAGTTTTCTGTTTGCTTTATTTTATTTTCATATTGAATATTTCTGGCGGCAGGTATTCCGCTAAATTATGAAATGTACGCAATTGTGCAAAGCTCATTTCAATTGCACGCTAATATAATTCTCATTTGCTAATTAAACGCCTGAAGGCCATAATTAAGCGAATTTACGCTAAACTTGTCATAAACAATGGCTAAATAAACGCAAAGGCTATAAGAATTTAGCCTGAAATATAAGGCAAGACTACTGCGAGCACGTTTGTTTGATTTAATAAATAAAAGTTTATTTAGCAAATTATTTGCCTGATTTATAAAATATAACGAGGCAAATACGAGAATGTGCTAAATGTGTTAAAGGTTAAATTATTGGTAAGTAAATGCTACGAGAATATCCAAGGGGAAAATATGTAGAGTAATATGACCTTTTATTACTGTAATAGGTGAATATTAATGCGTTTGTAATATATATATTAGACATATAAAAATTTATATTTCGTTTAAGATTAACTTTTATATTCTACAATCAAATCTCAAGGTAAAGAGAAGTGCCTCATAGATTACTTGGCTATTGACCAGTAGCAAACCAGTGGTTTGGACTTGCCTAAATCGCAAATTTAGGAGTCGCAGTTTTTCTTATTCAAATATGTGGTCTATAACTTAGAAGTGAATTCACGATTGGATTGAATCTCAAAAATATCGTTACTGAAACTATATTCAAGGTATTCGTGTAGCAAAGAAATTGATTTATCCATTTAAGTATAGATATACGGTTTTCCTTAATAGGACAAATTTGAAGTTATTAGAAAATCAGAATAAGTTCTGATTTTGAAAGCAAAAAAAATCTCTACAATAGTAGAGATTCTGATCTTTGTAAAGTTGACAGATTTATTTATGTAGACTAACTGATGTCTTTACCGAAACAAGAGCTATAGTAAGGTTGGAGTATTTTTTTTTCCCTGCGAAATTTCATCTCAGTTGATGTTTGTTATTATATTATGATGCTTTGTATTCTCCTAAAATTCACTGCGGTCAATCGGAAAAAACAAAGAAAAAATCATTTATTTTCTCTGCGGATCACATTTTAACTACTTCCGTTAATCATAATCATTTTCCTGTTTATCGGTAAGAACTAAAAATCAGTTAAACTACGTAAATTAAATAGGATGGATTTTGTTTTTATTTTATTAGACTTTTTGCAAGCGGTGTGGTGGTTTATAATGGGAAATGGAAGGGTGTCCACTAAACTATCACTGTAACCAAGTCATCCTGTGGTTAACAAAAAAAACCACCGACTGTTGCATTGCTTTGTTATATAACAATTTTTTTTCTTTTACTTATAGTTATAACCGCCTAGCATTATTCCAATAATTTTATATAAGAAACAATGATAGCATACAAACTATCAGATATATTAAGCAGTCCCTGGATATCTCCTACTCCTACTCAGACATTTGAAGGCTACTAGCAAACCTACAATATCTTCTGGTTCAAGATCCCGCAAGGTCTTGCAAATGTTATAGGTGAAAATACATTCCCATATTTTATAGATATTCTTTGATTCTAGCCTTAAAAGTTGATAATTAACATGAGCATCTCCAGAAATTAGTGTAAGTTTAAATCTATTTAGACTAAAATTTGTCAACACATTATTTGATGACTCGTATCAGCTGTTTAAATTGCTGTAGTCATTTGGGGTTGACACAAATGTTTTTGTGAGATAATTTGAGATAAATATCTTATCGATATAAGAAAGTTAATGTGTGATCTTTTGGTAGTTTGGGTTGATGGGAAGCTAAGGCACTCCTCATCGAAATTGTGTAGATTGCAAATATTTCAGCTTATGTAAGATAGCCGGTTCCTGGTTCCAAAAAAATGGAATTTAGGCATAAAAAACTATAAATGTATGGATTTACTGCTGCCAGTTTGTGGCAGATGTGACAGTGAATACGAAGAGGGATTTCTATTTTTGTTACCTACTCTATAGGTGTTATTAGCCTAGAGTCTAGAGACATGCTTTCCATTCCTTTTTGTCAGCGATAATCTTTTCTTAAGTTCGATGTACTACTCGTCTCACATGTTGTAGCAAAACTCCTATAACTATGGGCGAATATTTAAAGATATTTGTTTATAATATCGTTTAGTCACGTTGCAGTATACCTTGCTATAAAACTTAATGTAACCTTAATCACTTTCAGAAGTTTAAAGATCGGTTGTTTAAGAGATTATCGCAGGGCAGAACATTCCCTTGCTAGTTAATTAGATTTTCAATAAATTGATAATCTAGAGAGCAAAAAAACATTATGCTGTTCTTTGCAAATAATTTGTCTGTTTATTTCACTGGATAAGAGGTTGTGATACCTGAATCTGAATCCGGTTATTTCATAGAATCATAAATATTTTTATAAATTTTAAATAAAAATTAAATATTATATATATAACATAATTATAAAATATATCAATATTTATATTATTACTAGTATCTACATAAAAACGCTTTTACTTTTATTCTATAGAATGGATATGTTGTTTTAGTATGTATAATAATCATTTAGTATCCTAAAAGGAGAATCTACCTTAACGATGCCAAAAGATGATCTTAACATAAATAACTATCTTGGCTCGCCCTACATATGTAATACTCATATATATATTAACAAAGAAAGAGTTAAAGAAACATACTTTAGGGCCAGGCCAGCATTAGTTTTTATAAATTTCCAACTAAAAAAGTTAATTTTCTTAGTCACATTTATTTGGAATAGCATCGTAAAATGAAATATCCTTCAAATCAATTGATTTAAATTGCTCTAATCTATCATAAAATATAGGGTTTGATTTATGTGTAGTAAATACCATATATTTGTTTTTGTTTTCAAGAAGAAAAATAGGAACTCTAAGCTGCATTTGAGTAAGTACTAATTTTGCATTATTTTAACATTAAACCATAATTGCTTTAATATCTATTATAGTGACTAAGACTCAGACTAGCAATAAATGACTTTGGAAGGAGCATAAATTAAGTGTTCATGAAATCGCAATAATAGAAATACTAGCAAAAAATAAAAATTCATATGTGATAAAAATTTTATCCCAACATTTGCAATTTGCAAAGCATCACACATACTCGTAAATGCAAAAATATTCATTTCACATATGAGCAAGCAAATTTCTACGAATATCTTTATGCATTCTCTGTTCTCTGGCAAATTTAGAAAGCAACAAAATGCTATAGATGTCGCAATAAAATAATTTATTGAAGTTCTTAACATAGTAAATATAAACTTGAAGCGATGACGAGCGCATGTTTACACATTCATTTATATTGGCAACTATTTCACATTGATTTAGTTTGAAAGCAACAGCAACAACACCAACGGCAACAGCAACAGCAACAGCAACAGCAACAGCAACAACAGCAACATCAACAGCAGCAGCAGGAGTAACAAACGCTGACATTCACAGCATTCATAATTTCAGATACATTGGTATATAGCAGGAATAATAGCAACAGCAACAGCACCACCACCACCAACAACAACAACAACGAGAGTAGCAACAGAAATAAATGAAGTTTCTATCAAGTATCAACTTGAAGGCAACAATTTTTCTGGCGCATCATAAAAATTTTTATATTGATAATATAATAATATTATTTTCGCTTGATACTGGCTTGATGCCTGACACATATTGGCAATGCGAGCAGCACTATAAATGCCAAACTATCTTTCACATCAACTTATGACTGAGTGAAAGGCATGGGGAGAGTTGAAGTAATAAGGAAAATGGGTGTTAATAACGGAAGTGTTGACGTGCAACAAAAGAAAATATGTTGCCGCTGTAACATCGCCAAAAGCTGCTGTTGGCTATGAAATCATAAGAATTACGACCGACAATCGAGTAAGAGCAAAAGCATAAGCACCAGCACCATCAGTAGCAACAGCAACAGCATCAGCAACAGAAACTCACAGCAGCAGCAGCAGGAGCAGCAGCAGTAGTAGCAACAATAGCTAGCAGATATGGCAAATGATTTACTCGTTCAATATACGCAGTGAAGAGATATATTGCGATATGAAGTGATGTATGGGTTTGACGCCCTCATAAATATGACGTTGGCGCATTTGCTGATAGTTCTGATATACCATATACCATATACAATATATGAGCGATAGCAATTGCTGATGGAAGTGCTGTTGGCATTGGTTGGTTATATGCTTTCATATTGACTACATATTTGCCAGCTCATAATATTCGAAGCAACATTTGCAATATTTGCAATATTGAAGCCAAGTCCTGCTGTTTATTGCAAGGGAAAAATAAATATTCTCGAACATTGCAACTAAAAACTCGCATATTTAGTTTTAGGAGTTGTAAAATTTATTTGCCGTTGCGGTTGGTTGGTTAGTTGGCGGCATCACGGAATATGTTAGTCTGGCGCCAGTTCATGTGGGAGCATACGTACAATTGTGTTTGGATGTTAGAATGTGGGTAGTCGCAGGATATATTAGTTGTATTGATTACAAAATTGTCAGAAAATTAAAGAAGAAAAACTTTTCACAAACTTATTGCAATGCAAGTCTGCTATTCTGTCAGTCAATTGAAATTTTCTTTATAATATTTTATTATTTTTATGATGAATGTAGAAAGTTTAAGTTGTTGCAAGCACGTTAAAAACTTTTGACAGTTGCCTTAGTGCATTTAATAATAATAATAACAATAATAATAATAATAATAGTAATAATAATAATAGTAATAATAATAATAGTAATAATAATAATACTGCACAGCAATATGTTTATTTAAGCGGTATATATTAGTTTCGCAATTTAACTGAAATATTACGTTTTTAATGCTATTATAGAGAAAATGGCACTGAAGTTAGTAGGGCTTATATCATTAGTACGACTTATATCAAGTAATTAGTACGACTTCAAATCAATTAAGACTGAAACCTATCAAATAGTGTGGGGGTTAATTCGAATCAACAGTTTAAATATCAGTAGTCCTTTGTGTTTGGCTAAGATGTTTTTGAAAAGTTTATATTCGATGCAGAATACTGACGCAGTTACAAATAAAGTAAGTAGGGTTGATATTATTAGCGAGTAATTAGTATGAAATTAGATCTATTTTGACTAAGACTAGTTAACAGTTTAGTTGTGGACTTGAAGAAGCTTTGAAACTACCTTTGTACTGTGGAATTGGCCTAACCCTTTTTATTCTATTTTTATATTCGATTTTTCAGATTACTGATGTATTTTGAGAAGGTGATGTATTCCAAAAAAAAGTTCGGGATTTATGAAAGAAGCTAAATATGAAGTTAATCGTGTTGAAATTATTATAAAAATTATCTCGTTTTTAATTTAATTATATTAATACTGATATATATAATTAATTAGAATTAAGTGTATATTTTCTAGACAGATTTTATATTGTACCAATGTTATATAATAATATATCTATTGTGCGCACTTCTATACAAATATCTCGGGTCACATTCGCCGATAATAGGGTGTTATACCTGCAATAGGGTAATAATACCATAATAGGGTAATATCATTTCTACTACTGAATTTTCAAAGCAGTATTCAGACAAATATAAAACAAAAAAAATACTATTCGTTTAATAATGTTAAACAAGAGATAAGAAAAGGAAGACTTTAGTCAAGTTTATTCAATTCGATCAAAGCAATCTACACTTTGCAGGCTTGGGTGCTTATCAGACTACGTAATCCTGATCAAGCGATAATTATAGATTCGTGTCACATGTTTCAAGGGCCTTTTTTTTATAAATATTCACTGTTTTATTTTATTTTAATTGATTTTAAAAATTAAATTTGTATCTAAGTATATTTTTTTTCAATTAAGGAAAGACATTTTATTCATTATAGATGAATGTAATGTAATATATGGTAATGCAATGTGAGTATGAGGGACTGAACGATGACTGGTTTTGTTTTTATATATCAGTATGTAGCATATCTTAGTATATGCATTGGGAACTCAGTTTCTTTATGAGAGAGTCTGCATATTGGATTTGATGCTATACATCAGATGAGCATTAAGTCTACAACGATTAGTCAACATTTATAATCTGTTCTTGAATAAGTCAATATAAGTCAATTAATACTAGCAATTTTCAGTGTTTAGTCTTTTGGGTTTTTTTAAAACTATAATATTTTACCTATACTAATCTGTTTACCTATACAGATTATGATATGCAGTCAATCTTGAACAATAGCTTTAGGTCGCAGTGCTTTCTGGCCTCCAATAATATTATATTCAGTCAGTTGCTTCTCCGAAATCTTTTGTGATAGTTTGCTTCCCACAAAACCCTCTGTTATTTCGTTACTAATGGACGTCATGAATGATTTGATTTACTAAACATAATTTAAAAAAGAAATATCTTCTATAATAAACTAAATAAACAAATTTAATTAAATACCGTAAATAAGGCAATTACTTCTTAATGCTAAGCACTTTTGTCAATATCTTTTACCCGAACAATCAAAAGATAAATACAATAGTAAACAAAAGTTTTAGTTACAAAAATAATACAAAGCCATACGTTTCGATAGATTTTAATAAATTTTTATTTTTTCATATATATGAATGCATCAACAAATCGTAATTCAGATTTCCATACGTTTCAATTGTTGCAAACAATAGTCCAATTTATTTGAGCAAAAATCAAAAGTGTCCAGAACAAAAGATTAGACCAGAAAAAAGTGGTATCAATATATTTAGCTTTGGTTACAATAGAATTCGGCACAATACAAAAATAAATTTATTTATTGTTTAATCAAATAAAAGGAAATGAATTTCACAAAATTAAATAAATACAAAATGGGCAAAATAACGTAAAAATTACCACTGGACTGCCTGCCCAGTATCACTAAACAAATGTGACAGCTTGAAATGACGTGCGTTGTACGACTCTGAACAATATGAGTACCAAAAGAAAATGTTGGGGTCAGAAAGTGTTATAGATTAGAGTAAGAGATTGGATTGGTATAGCTATATAGTATAGGAAGCAATTAGTTGAGTCTTTTTATGCAGTTGCTCTTAATGCAGAATGAACTTTACTTGGAAAGTTAATTCTATTTTATATTTTTTTAATATTATGTACTAAGTGACCGATCGGTTTCAAAAATAAAAAAAATTGAATGAAGAAGAATAAGAAGGTGGTAGAGGGTTAGAAGTTGGAAAAGAAAAAAGTGGGTTAACTTTCAATATCAACTACAATGCAGTCTGTTTAGCAAAGTATACAAAAATTGAATACATCTGTGATTCCGATATACTCTTTTAATCCTGTCATTAGGTATGATATATAACATTATTCAAATGTCCTCCGCGGAACGTCTTTTTGTGTTACATGAATTTTATATGAAAATAGAGATGGAGATGCAAAGCCAAATACAAAATTACATACGCTATAAAGTGCTGTAAGATAGCACTCGACATTGATCCACTTAGAGTCTTATTGACACTATTACTTAAAATTTCAATAAATAGTAGTTTTTTGGTTAGCTTGAACATTACTCATTCGAGACACTGTGCCTATTATTAAACTATTATATCCTTTTGTGTTAATTATTTAAATGCTATGTTAATGTAGTTTCTCAAGTTCATATCAAGACTCAATATGAGAGTAAGACCTTATATACTCAGCGATGAATAAACTATCAAGCCGATATGTACGGAAAATGTGATCTTAATTATCATAAGCTCGCCGGATACATGACGAATGATATCGAACGTTGCTACCAGAATCGTGACTGAACTTAAAATCAGTGAATGACTTTGTGCTAGCAAACGCACCGTCTGAGAGATTTTCTCTCAAGAATTCGGAGAACTCGGACGACATAAGTAACGATTTGAGCTGTTGTTCTGGACGCCTTTTGACGTAATACTTCACGGTAGTTTCAGGAGGGCATTTCCGTCCGGACATGAGGACATGTTTTTAGTGGATTAAAGTTTCGCACTGACTTACGCTTCTGTTGCTTTTGAGTACTCGTTTAAGTAAAGCAAAATAAATTTTATATATTCAACTTTTCAAAATATATAACTTACTTTTTAGTAAGTGAAAGCACTACTTACTTGGGGCGATCACCTTTAGTAATATATGGGAACACATATGTAAGTTCATTTCACTTTTTACGCAATTATATTCACTTCACCTATGCAGTAACGTAGGTAACGTTGGAAAAATAAATTTATCAAATTAAATGAAAAAGTAGAAAAAAAGGCTAAAATTCTGTAGCTGAATAATAAGCGCAAATACACGTACGGAAACGCATATACGCATATCTATATCTGCACCCGCAAAGTATTTGAATTCTTTCAACGGAGCACGAATCCTGTGACTTAACTCGAGGGTGAATTATTATAATCAAACAAGGGCTGCTGCTGCGGCTGCTGCTGCTGCTGACCTTACAAGAAAGCGAACTAGTCGGAATTCTGTTGAAATACAGGGATACAGGGAAGGAGTACCAATGCGGACATGACTCTTTCGAAGACAAATATGGACAGGGCAGGGAATGGTGCTTTATATTATTTGGCATATGTATAGCAAATGAAGTCAATTGCGTAAATGTAGGCGTGTGTGACTTGATTCTGATAAACTAAGCCAACAAAGAAAATTGTTTTAAGCTTTTTTAAGCCCCCCTGGCAGTAGTGCAAAGAAATAACACAAGCAAAATGAATGTGGAAAGATGTAGAAGAAAATTTCTCTGTGATGTTGGGAAATTCAAGCGAAAAATATTTTGTTAAATACAAAATAAATATATAAAAAGCGCCCAAATCTGATCTGATTAAGACAAATATAAATGTTCTCTACGTTTCTTGTTTTTCGTTTTTATATATCTCTTTATTTGTACTTAGTTCCACTGTCTGTTTGAGTTATTTTAATGCTCGTACTGCGTACAATGAATTGTGACATTTTCCTGTGAAAATAGCATAAAAATAAATAAGATAAAGTCAGCAAGAAATTGAAGCAGAAATGCGTGATAATAAAGCTCGTAAGTCATCAGCAGGAAGGCAGCAGATATTAAACCCTCACAAGTCATAAAACAAATCAGCAAAACTGTTCAAAAATAGTTCGAGTGGTGCTCAAATAGAAGGAAAGCAGCAAAAGTTTTGTATTTCAAAACAGCTGTCAACAACATGTGACAAGTAAAACATAAAATTTTATCATGTAAAAAGCTAAAATAATTGCAAATACA